GAGGCTGCATCCCCTCCTTCTATCACTGCATGCTCCTGTGTGTGTTTTGTCAACCTCCCCCTTCTGCTGCTCCTCACCGCTTCTTTTTTCCATATACGTAACTCCTCCATGTCGCACCCCGACACGTGACGGTAGGTCGGGCCGGGCGTTTCGCCTCAGACTTTCTCACCATTTGTGCTCCTGCAGCTAGTAATCAGCAAGAACTTCACGCATTGAGGGCGGGTGGTTTTTCAAATGCTGTCAGCGCCGCGCACATTCGTCTTCAAATTCGCAAAGGGTTTCACGGATAGAGGGCGGGTGGTTTTAAACATGTGGTTCTCGCCCTCAGCGCCCCGCACATTCGCATTCAGAATGTTCAAGAGCTTCTCGGATGGAGGGCGTGCCGCTTTTTATAATATGGTTCTCTCCCGAGCGCCGCGCACATTCGGCTTCATACTTCGCAACTGTTTCACGGACAGTTAAGTTCCTTTTCAAAACGTCGTTCTCGCCTTAGCGCCGCGCGGATTCGTCTTAAACGTTTGCACCAGGTTCACGCACATCTGAGTTCTCCTTTTCAAAATGTGGTTCTCGCCCTGGCGCCGCGCGCATTCATTCGTCTCCAATGTTCCCAAAAGTTCCACTGATGGAAATCGTGTCGAAAGCATGGCGTGTTCAAAATGTGGTTCTGGCCTCAGCGCCGCGCACTCTCGTCTTCAAAATGTGCGGGAGCTTCGCGGATGGAGGGCTTGTGTGTCTTGTCTTGTCTTACGTCACTGCATGGTCCTGTGTGTATTGTCGTCCTCCTCCTCCTCCTGCTGCTGCTGCTATTCCGCCATTCTGCCATTCTAACTAGCTCCTCCCTGTCGCACCCCGAAACGTGTCGGTAGGTCGGGCTGGGCGTTTCGCCTCAGACTTCCTGACCAGTTATGTTCCTAAAACAAACAATATGCAAGGACATCACGTATGGAGGGCGAGACATGTTCAAAATGCTGTTCTCGCCTGAGCGTCTCGCACATTCGTTTTCAAAGTGTGTATGTGTATATAAGTGTGTGTATGTGCACGTGTATGTATGCACGCATGTGTGTGGCTTTCGCCTTAGCTCCGCGCACCGTCGTCTTCAAAACGTTGGACAATTAGACGGATTATCATGGTTGACGTCCCGGGAATTGCGTTCGAGCTGTCAAGGCGCAGAAGTCACGTTGATTCGCTGCGTTGAACTCCCGAGGATCAGCATCTGGCACGACGCGGTATCGGCAGGACGGAAAAGTACGCTTGATTCCCGTCGTTGTTGTCGAAGGAGTAGCGTTCTGGCACGATTGGAGAATCTTCGACGGTTGTCTTCCAACGGGGCACTTCCAGCAGTGCACCTAAATTATGAGAGGGGCCCATGAACAAGGCAACTTGAAAGGATTGTGTATTGCAGTCTCGTGGATGCGTCATAAATTTACACTGGCCCTCCTCCTTCTCCTGATCATGCTTACCTTCTCTTCTCCGTGCCCCTTCTTCCTTCTACTGGCCATTCGCCACTTTCACAACGGCATGTGATCGGTCCTGTTCGAGCTTAGCGTTTCGAGAACGGCTATCAGACTCGAGGGCGCCTTTGGTCGTGACTCGACCTGTATCAAAAGATGCCTCCGTGTCAGCCCTACAAGAAACTGGACAATTTCTACGCGAAGCATAGAGCATGAACATGATACAGCGGCTGTCGTCCCACCCACCCCTCTCTTGTCTGCTTGTGTCATTACGAAATCCCACCCTGTCCCACGCTTCCAAGGTCCAGTCTACTCTCCCGCTCGTTTCTGGATGGGCTGGTGGGGGTACTCGAAGCCCCTTACATTAAGCACCAACCAGAAATTGGCCCTACTTGGGGGAGGAATCATACACACAATGTTCGCGGACAGTGCACAGCGGATAAACGCCAAAGGGGCCTGAGGCGTCTTGATCGAACAGCACTTGCAATGCACGCAATTCTGCGCATTGATCTGCAGCTTCATGCCGTCTCCTCCCGCGTTGATTGTTACCGGTGCACCACCAGCAGAACGAGAGCCCCAGCGGATGGAGAGATACTGAACGACTACGTGGGTCAAGTACAACACGCATAATGTGTGGATCCGTCGCCGAGAGAAACAAGCGCGAGGCATAACTTAACGTTTCGATACTTACCATCGGGGAGCCGGCACTTCCAAACGAGCACTACAGACATGAAGCAATATGCCATTCAGACCAACCAGTAAAAGACATGACCAAACTATCGACGCACAAAGTATGCGTGGATGGGGACTGGAAAGACAACCCGCCTCCAACGGGATAGCGCCTCGTGTGCGCACATGTGCACCGAAGCAAACGTTGGTACCTCTTCGGTCTCAGCAGGGGGAAGAACTGTCAAACCCGTTGCATGGTGATTGCAAACTGGGCGGAGCAGCGGAGATGTAGCTTATAGGAGCGGCCACGTCAAGCGTTGTGGGGCCTCCTACCCACCCCCTTCACCCAGTAGATACCATAAAACCTGTTGCCCGACCCACCACCGCTGCAGCAGCCTACTTGGCCAAGCGCAACTATATTGCCCGCAGTACTCACAAGCAGCGGGCTTGCACTGTGCGCAGGCATGTGTTTGTGGCATGTTGAGGCGCTTGGCGCTCAGAGGCCAGTGAGGTACCCGCACAGACGCTATGGCGCACGCGGCATCGAAGTACAGGCACTGTGGACCTGTGGTTGCAACAGCAGCTGTGGCGCACACAGGCAGTGTGGTGTACACACGCATTGTGGTGTGCATTTGCACACGGGCAGTGTTGTACACGAGTGCACTATGGCATTATGGTATACACGAGCGCTGTATTGTGCAAGGCTCTTATGGAGTGCACAATGAGTGTAGGGCAAACCTACGCTATGGGCCGAACATAAGGGGGGGGGCACATACCCGGGACCAGCAACACAACAAAGTGGTCAACTAATTTACATGTCATGTGTGATACGTCTAGGCCCATCGTTATTTCATAGCGATTGACCCCGTCAGGGCCCTAGGCTGTACAAGCATTGTGGTGTACAGGCGGTGTGGTACACACAGACGGCGTTGAAGCTGCAGCTGCGGTGCACACGGGAGTTGTGGTTTACACTGGCATTGCGCTGATGACAAACACCTCCGGTTTTTCGCATGGTGGCCGCCCGTGGGCGCATCGTGGCCGCCTCGTGCGCTGGCTGGCGCTTTCCGGGTTTTCGCCCACTGGTTTTCCGAATCGAGTCCGTCAATATTAATAACAAAGACCACGCGCGCACGTTCTCATCAACCCCACCGCTATCATCATGATCATCATCACCATCATCATCATCATCATCATCATCATCATCATCACCATCTTATCATCATCATCATCATCATCATCATCATCATCATCATCATCATCATCATCATCATCATCATCATCATGAGCAGCATCATCATCATCATCATCATCATCATCATCATAATCTCCAGCGTCATCATTGCCACCGCCATGATCATCACCTGCACCGTCGTCGTCATCATCCCCCCCGTCGTCAGCATCCTCCTCATCATCATCATCATCATCAGCATCAGCATCTCATCATCATCATCACCATCAGCACCATCATCATCATCATCATCATCATCATCAGCATCAGCATCATGATAATCATCATCATAATCAGCATCGTCATCGTCGTCGTTGTCGTCGTCGTCGTTGTCGTCGCATTGTCGTCAGCACAGCGGTCATCATCATCAGCGCTCGCCCGCCCGAGCAATGAATCTGCGTGATGAGGGCTCTCGCGCCACTGCGCCAGCTGAGCCTCGCCAACCTGCTGCTGGTGGACGGGTGGGGTTGGGACAGTTGCTCGCGCACTGGAGTTGATGACGAGCATTGTGAACGTTTTTGTACCCGGCGTCTCGACATAGGGCGGAAGGGGGGGGTGGGAGGGTGGGGGGGTCTGGCTCCAGACCTCTGCTTAGTGCGACTGTTTACAACAGTGCGTCCCATGGGGGGGAGACTCCCCCTTCTCGAAACAGGCGCCCAAAACAGCCAATATCTACTCCAGGGAGGGGGGGGGGGCCGTGCGAGGGCCCGCGCCGATCGGCAAAACAATGAATAAAAAAACGATCACCATTGGAGCTCACAGCTTCAAGTCCTTGACACTTGTCTCACACACCATGTTCACATATACTGCACCAGGTTGGCTGCACGGGTTATGGTCTGCCACCTGGGTCGCACCCCGCAGATAGATAAATCTACCGTACCATGGCATCCGAAAGATTGCACCCCATACGTTGCACATGCAGAGTGTGATAGCCCACAGTTCGGGGCTCACGCTGTCAAACATGACTTACATCAGAAGGTGAGGGTCGCCTCGTCGAGCCAGCCAACATGTTGACATGCCCCCAGAAATGCGAACAGGTCAAATCCAGGGGGCATCTACTTGGAGGGCAAATCCTTATTGGTGGCAAGGCCTCTGTCACCATGAACATGTTTTTTTGTTTCGCAATGCCGGCCCCTAACCGGCCCCAGCCGCCCCGCTTCGCCCCCTCAAGTAAGGAAATGATTCGCGCTTGGCTCCGAGTCGATGTTGGCTATTCCTAAATCATTTGTAGACAGGGCCAACGCGAAACGTGCCATTACTGGCCCCTCGCCACCCTCCACCCCCCTGGGTACCACCCGCTATCGACTGGGAATAAAAAGCGCTCTCTTATTGGTGGCATTGCCTCTATCACCACTCTCTGGGGTCTCCTGGGTGGCCCCCGCCAGCTAAGGGGCCTGAGGCATACCCGCGCCAGCAGAGTTGGGCACCTCCGTGCCAGGGTTTGCGCGCCGTCCCTTCGGTGGCAACATTTTGGAGCCTCCCATACCGATTCTTTTGGCTCTTGCGCAAATCGAGGCTTGCCGACTCTAATCGACTCAAAATCGATGCTAACCGACGCTAATATATGCTAAATCGGCGCTATACAGTCGATTACCGGACGCTAATCGATGCTGGTCGACGCTGAAGATGACATTGCGAGGGTATACCAGGCTCCCACGAGTTGCTACCGAACCCTCCCCGTTCCGGACTCATCTGGCACGTACTCGTAGACTTTGGCAGGGCAGAATCTGCCCTCGGGGCCCGCGTACTTCTCCAGGGAGACCTTCCAGACAGCAAGGAGAGTGGAAGACAGAATCGAGACGATGACACAGCAGGACTGCCACCGTGGATGATACGACATGACCAGCAGTAGCTATACACACTCTGATTCTATGCTGCAGCTGCTTCTGCTCGTGCACTGAAGAACGCCGAGGGTTGCTTGCGGACCGAACCATCTTGAAATTTGGATGGCCTGGCGGCGCAAGCAGCTGGACAGCTCTCAATTCGCCACGCGATGTCCGTCAAACTGAAGCTGGTCCTCCGATCTCCGTGGGCCACGTGACCTCATGGCCCGAGGTTCAGAGCGGTGGCGGGCCAAATGTTGTTGACGGCGGCCACTGCAGACATAGCGGCAACTACCCCTGGGTCGCTTCGAAGCAGCAGGGACGCTCGAAACTCAGCCTGCAGGGCATGGCCCAAGGAGCGCACTCCAAGATCGATCGGTGAGGCTACGATCAGGAGAAACATTCGCCTGCAGCCAACAGCAGCTTACTGGCCCAATCTTGCGCAAACGCTGGCAAGCTTTGCGCATGCAGACCCAGTGTATAAGCAGGCGCTTTAGAAACTGAGCCTTCCAGGAATCAGCTAAAGAAGCCCTGGGCCAGAGAGAAGATATGATTGTTTGATGACCAGCGCATCTGCATTCCACGAGTAGTCAAGGCTGCAAGATCAAGGGGGCTCGCATCGGCACCTCGTCGAGAAAACAGAGGAACTCTCGGTCGAGTCGGCCTTCCTTGAGCCAGCCTACCTGGTGAAGTCCAATGGGCACAACGCGGGCGAGAGCGGCTTCGCAGATCGCATGAATCAAGTGATCAACAAATAACAGCATAAACCATGGGAAAAACCATTTACACAACGCCCGAGGACGTCCAACGCACGGACTAGCACACAACAAACTATGGCGGACTTTGATTATCAGGGCTCACAGCTGGGTAACATCAAGACAAGTGAGCAGACAGGACTCCTGCGCAAAAGATGGAGAGGCAGAGTTGTCGCGAACGTCTCCTCACAAAACCGACCTGGCACTAAACACTACATCACCGAATGTTTGGAAACTGGTCCCTGTTACCTTGGCCGTATTTTCTTTCTTGCCGGACGGATCGAGACCTGCCTTTGCTTGTCCCCCTTCCCGTCACCTCTTCTGCCGTAAGGGTGGGGCTCGTACGAGCTGACCAACGCACATCCGAGGCCCTTGCAAAGCCACCCTCCGTGGCCTCCAGGATGCTAAACCTGCTGCCCACGATAGCTCAGAAAGGCGGTCCGACACGCTAGAGGGGCCTCCAGAGCACCCGAGATGGTCCTCCAAGGGGACTCCCTGCCAGGTCTTGGAGAGTCCGAGACGGACCGAGAAGAGAGAGAGAGAGAGAGAGAAGGCCCGTAGGGCAGACGAGTCTTCCCAGCATGACTCCGGGCCGTGCGCGCCGCTCACTCGTGCACTCAACTCAGGAGTCTTGCCAACGTTTTCGCTGCCGTCCAGGGCGGCGCTTGACGTGCGCGTGGTGCCACGGGTGAAGCCCCCCCCCCAGGCAGGCTAAGACGGCCGAAGGGGCCCCAAGAGGACCCTGAGGCGGCGCACAGGAGGCCCTGAGACGGCCGAACTGGCCCCAAAGACGGCCAAGAGTGCCTTCGAGGAGGAGGAGGAGGAGGAGGAGGAGGAGGGGGAGGAGGAGGAGGAGGAGGAGGAGGAGGAGGAGGAGGAGGAGGAGGAGGCCCCAACGACAGGAAAAGCGGCAAAGAGCACACACACACACACGGAATCGGAACCCGCACATCTCCTCTGCTGGGGGTCGGCGGAATGGCGCAGGCCTCCTGAATAGAAAGCCTGCATTGGGGGGGTCCAATCATAGACCCGGCTCCATCAACAAATGCGGTTCAAGCAGAAGCCTCACATGCAGGTTCAACGAATGCCAAATGCTCCCAAGCCCTATGAACCTGATGTTCGTCAACTCACGCCGCACTTCAGACCACGTTGGGACACATTCGCCGACTATGCTCGGCTCAAACTGCCCGCGTTGATATGCGGCCGCCATATCTGGGCGAGCGTGTTACCTCCCAAAGCGGGCGTAACTTCTACAAGATCGTCTCGGCACCGATGATCATCGCTTATCCGATCCCTATCCCCAGCGGCGTGGCCTGGGCCCCACTGGCCGATTTACTCCCCTAGATGGGGATCTAGGCCGTTCCCTTCGGGTTTCGAGGGGTGCATCCCCGACTGGGGTGGGAATTTGGTGGGGGTCTCGAAGGGATGGAGATGGGGATGGGGATTGGTTAAGCGATGCCGAGCTGCAGCGGCGCTGAGTGGGCCATGCCCGCGGCAGCGACGCACGCCGTTGCCATGTCGCAATGCTCGGTGCTGCACGGCCTGCGCACGCCGGGGGCCCTCGGAGCGCACACCCACCCCGCGGCGGTGCAGGCGCAGCTCTCCGGGCACCGCCCGGACACCCCCATGGCAACTGCAGCGGGCCCCAGAAGAAGATCCACCCACAACCGCATACAGTCGGGGCCTTGACCTAAGGAGCCCTAAATAAGGAACGAGGCCCCATTTTTCCATAAGTTAACCTTCGAATTCCTGTCGAAAACATAAGGAAAGCCTAAGGCAAGCTGTGAAACACTTAAGGAACGCGAAGGCCCTCCCCAACCAAAAGGGTTCCTTCTTCAGGGCCCCGGCTGTATGGTTGGCCCTCTCTTTTTTCTCCCTTGTTCAGAATATGGATGTATTTCTAATTGCACGCATTTCGCTGGCTCCCATGAACAGCGCACCGGCGCATGGTGGCCAGCCAACAAATCCGCACGAACTTCACCTCGAAATCCGGAACGAAAGTCTCCGGGACACTCCGGGCCCAGCCGATCGTTTTCCGAACGGAATCCGCTCTGCAAGGGTGGCGCCACGACATGTACAGTCAAAAGCATGATCCATAAAAGTATCAGTTAAGAAAGCTGGGCCAGCTTTTTAGGAGTTTCTTCAGGAAACGCTGGGCCAGCTTTTGGAGCCAGGAACGTATACGTTCCTGGCTCCAACGAAATGAATGACATATATGTTATTCATTTCCAGGATCCAATCCAAGCCGATCAGTCCCCTTTAAGAAACGGAGCCAGCTTTCCAGCAAGTTGGTTAAGGAACGCTGGGCCAGCTTTTCGGGGGGGTTCTTATGAAGGGGCCCAGGGGCACACAAATAAATACACACAAATAAACAGATTCCCCATATTTTCCCATATTATGTTGGTTTTTGTCTTCCTGCCCAATTCCCATAGTTTCCCATCTGTTGTTGGGAATCGACGATGAATTGTGTCTCTGTGTGTGTGTGTTTTTCCCCTCCTGATCTGAATCATACGCGGGGCCGTACCTGGGAACCGCGCGCGCGGCCAACGTCTGTTAGTCATTTCTAGGATCCACGCCGATCAATCCCCTCGAGAAACGGAGCCAGCTTTCCAGCAAGTTGGTTGAGAAGCGCTGGGCCAGCTTTTCGGGGAGGGGGTCCTCAATCGCACGCGGGACCGCACGCGGGGACCGCGCGCGCGGAGGGGAGCTCTATAGGCGCAGTCGTGCCGTGGGCCTGCCGGCACAGTGGGCGGAAGGCCATGGAGCCGCCCCCCGGGCACCGCTGGGGGGGCACCCCAGGGCCGGCAGAACGTGCCAGGCAACAAAAAACACCCTCAGAGTGGGCACCCCGACGAGCGGAGCCACGAGCAAGCGCACCGAGGGAGGGCATCGAACAGGGCAGGGCCGTTTCGTGAATGCCGACAGGAGGGGAGGAGGGAGGAGGGAGGAGGGAGGAGGGAGGAGGAGAGGAGGGAGGAGGGGAGGAGGGGGGAGGGAGGAGGGAGGAGGAGGAGGAGGAGGAGGAGGAGGAGGAGGAGGAGGAGGAGGAGGAGGAGGAGGAGGAGGAGGAGGAGGAGGAGGAGGAGGAGGAGAGGAGGAGGAGGAGGGAGGAGGAGAGAGGAGGAGGAGGCGGAGGAGGAGGAGGGTCGAGGTGTTTTTTCTCCCCAAAAAAACGCCAGGTCCCTGTGGTCCGATAGGGCTGGGCAGAGGGGCCGCGCCAAGCCCCGCGGGAGCTCGAGCACGCTCCCGACAGATGTGCCATGAAGGCGCGCTGCTGCCCAGACAAGTAAGCGTCGCTTGACGGGGGGGGGGGGCCACATGCGAACCCTAACCCCCTGCCCCCCACGATTTCCGAGGGGGAGGGTAGGGTTCACTTCGCTCGGGGGGGGGGGGGGGTAACTGAGGGGGAAGAAAGAGGTGCACCTTCTGGACCCCAAAGGCCCCCTTTCGGATCCGAAGGGCCCCTTTGGGGCCCCGCGGGGCCCCTCTTCTGCAGCCCTCGTGCTGCTCCCCCCCGCGCATCTCCCCCCACCCCCCATGACGCGACGCCCACTGGAAGACCTGGGCAAGGAAGGGCAAGGGAGAACACAGCGAGCTGGTCTACGGCTGAGGGCGTTGGGCTGGCACGGCTCAGCAGGCGTACAGCGGCGAGTTTGAAAGAGGATCGCGAGCCTTCAAGGGCACGTCAGCCTTCTCTGGCTTCACCTTGAGGTGCGCAGGCTGGTCGTGCTCGTGATTCACCCCGCTCCTGATCAAATTCTCCAGCAGCTCAAACGAGTAGACGCCGTCTGGCTTCGGATCCTTCGGCCTCTTTGAAAGAGAGAAGCCCTCGTTGCAACGGCATGATGACTACACACACGCACTAGAAACAACACACACCCGTACGGCGGGGCGGCCCCGACACAAGACGTGGCAGCATCTCGAGTCCCAATGTTGTTGCCTCCAGACCTGGCCCCTGGCCCCAGCAATAACCAAGTGGAGAGGAGAGGCGTGGACAAGGGGCAGGGAGGATGAAGGATGATGGAGGGTACGTGCTCACCGCTCATGCCCAATTCTGGAGGAGGATGAGGAGGAAGAAGAAACGGAGGCGGAATCTGTCCGATACGCCTTGCCAGCCCAAGCCGAGACCTGAGGAGCTCGAGATACCCGCGGCTCGCGAGCAGCTCGAGTGGGATCGCGGGGGCCCGGGCCCCCGCGACCTGTCCTCCGGGCCGGCCGCCCCGCGCTCTGGTCTCGCGAACGGCGGAAGTGCGGCAGCCCCTGGGATACTCGATCCTCTTGCACTCCTCCGCCGGCCTGGTGTACTCGCTGTCGCGCCCCGTCCACCTGCGGCTGCTCCGCCGGCGGCGCCGCGTCCGAAGCGGCACCGCCCGGCCGGCGCAGGCCGAGCGCGCCGAAGGATGAGGCCTCCTCTTCCTCCTCCTCCTCCTCCTCCGCCTCCTCCTCCTCCGCCTCCGCCGGCCCAGAGAAGCCCGCAAGACGACCTCCGAAGGGTCAGATGGGCCAAGAGCCCCCTAAGACGGCACAAGAGGCGCCGAAGAGGACCCCCAAAGCCCTCCAAGGTGCTGCCAGGAGGCCCTCAGCAGGCCCCAAGGGGCCCCTAAGAGGCCTTCTCCTCGTCTTCATTTGCTCCCTCTCCTTCTTCTTTTCCTCCTCCTCCTCCTCCTCCTCCTCCTCCTCCTCCCCTCCTCCCCTTCCTCCTCCTCCTCCTCCTCCTCCTCCTCCTCCTCCTCCTCCTCCTCCTCCTCTTCCTCCTCCTCCTCCTCCTCCTCCTCCTCCTCTCCTCCTCCTCCTCCTCCTCCTCCTCCCCCCCTCCTCCTCCCCTCCTCCTCCTCCTCCTCCTCCTCCTCCTCCTCCTCCTCCTCTTCCTCCGCCTCCTCCTCCCCCAGACAAAATGAACACCAAGCGCGTGGCGGAGCATTACGTCTTGGATCGCCTGCTTCATGAGCCAGCACCGTAAATGATAGCATCGCTTACAATACCCACAGGGGGGCTCTTCGGGGTACGGAGAGCGGCACACCGCAACAGCCTCCACCCAGCCTTCTTGACCCAAGCTCCGAACGACGTTCACCGCCTGGCCCCCCACAGTCTCGGCATGCTCTGGGCCTAAGCGATTGGAGACAAGGGTGAGGAACGAGGGTGATATGGACGGGAGAGGAACGATGGAGGGATACTCCGCATTCCATAATAAAGGCTGGGGGGTCACATTTGGGGGGGGGGGTCTGATTTGAGCTGCCTTGGAGGGTTCGGGGGGGTCTGGGCAAAGGGCCGCCCTTTCATGGATGGTCTGGGAGGGTCTAAAACTTCTCGTTGGGGGGCAGGGTTGAGGCCCCCGCCCTTTTATTACCAAATCTGGGGTACAGTCGGCCCGTATCATAAGGATGCGCGATGAGGACGCAAATGGCCTTGGACGCCCATTTCGAAGCTTTTCGAGCCTTGGTTGGCCAGCGAAGGTCGCTGAGGATGGGCCGAAGGGGCAAGGATGCCAGGGTAGCCTTGGGAAGGTTGCCCAGCCTTACTGTGCGGGTTGCCTGTACGAGAGATGCGGCAGAGGGCAGGAACAGTTGGGCGGGGGGGGAGGGTAAGGTGCTGGATTCGGTACCATTTGACGGTGGGTGTATACAATCATACAATTTGCATTTGTTGTGTATCAAGTATAGAGGTGTGTGTGTGTGTGACATAATGTGTGTATTCGTAAGCACAACATACAATTGCATGCATTTGCGTGCATATAAATAAGCTTGCATACACACATATATATATAATACAATTACATAGACACACGCGTGTATATATTATATACACGTGTCCAATATAGAGAGATACAGAGATGTGTATTCATATATTCACATGAGTAAAAACATGCATATGGTTATGCGTATAATTGAATGTGTTTGTATGGATGTACTATGTGTACATGCATGTGCGTACATGTTGGTATACTATGTATATGTTATCATGTGGCCATACAACAATAATGTAAACTATGTACGTGTAGACAGTGTAGGAGCATGCATTCGTATTTACATAAATGAAGAGACATGCGTATGAATATGTGTAAGTGATTGTGTGTATGTGTACACAATGAGTAAATAAGTGTTTGCACCCTTATGTCTAGTATGTGTCAGTGTATACGTGCGCATACAATACAACAGTATTCAATATGTATACAGGCTAATACGGATATGTATATATACACACACGCTAGTAAATATGCAAACACGCATGTGTGCATGTGTGTATATATATATATTCATATATGGTTGTGTATGCACAGAGATATTCAAGTATAAAAGGCACATTTCTAGATTTGCGCATGCATCTGGAAACGCAAAACAATGCGTACACAATTAAACAAGCATGTGTATGTGAATCTATACAGTTACAGTCGCACGCGTACATATCAATACATTTGTTCATGTCAGAAACAACGTTTGTACATGCGTACGGACATGCATGTGCACTTGAAGCTTATATGCAAGCATTCAACGTTGGACGAAGAGCTCACACATCATACATACGCACTGTACAAATGTTCATGTATGCGTGCACGCATGCTGCAGGAGCATGCACGGCCCGGCATACAGATAGCATCCTGTGTACATGCATATATGCATTTGCACATATATACATATATATTTATACAGTTGTGTTAATACACATATATTTATATGCATATATATATATAGATATGTAAATATTCACATGTAAGTATGCATATATATATATATACGTACAAGTACACAATCAATACAGTTGCAACCAACCGCATACATACGAGCATTCCTTTACACATACATACTCACATGCTCATCCATGTATTCGCATGTATGCCCTTAATATGAGATACGCTTGCATGTCAACTTGGGCTTACACGTGTACATAAGTGGTCCCATACGCATGCATGCATGAATGTATGAAAACACGTCTGCACATGGATAGACACACGCATACGCCTGACCTCTACTTGACACGTGCACGTGCACACATAATCACGCATCGAAAGGCCGGCATGCGTCTTGACATACATTCAACCACACACGTGCAACGATGCGTGCACATGGGTATGCGTGCTACAAGTGATCCATACACACATCCACATGTACACACATACGTACGCATATACACGCTTATGCATCGACAGCCGGATACACATGTAAAAGTATACACACAAGTACATGCATACCTGGCGCACCGCAATTGCGGATAACAGTGAGGGGGCGGGCGAGCTCGCGGGTGGGTCGCGGGTGACGTGGGTCGCGGGTGCGTCGCGGGCGGGTCGAGGGCAAATCGCGGGGGGGTAGCGGAGCGACGACGACAACGAGAACGACAACAACGACAACCTTTATTTAAAGACTGTTCGCTCTTATACGCGTGCGTGGCACCAAACGCATATATCACAAATCCTCGATACCCGCCCTCTTCGTCTTTGGTCGTACCCCCTTTGAGGGTATATCTTCATTACATGCCACGCGCAGTTGGCAAGGCTCATAAAACAGGAAGAGGAGGGAGAAAGGAAGACAGGAGAGAGCAAAGAGGCACGGAATGGGGTAAGGGAGGCAGGAGCGAAGTGGCAAGGGGTGGAGGAGGACGGATGACGAGCGTGATTAGCTGGAGGGGGGGAGGGGGGGTTAAGAGAGGTACAGTAAAACAAACGGCTGAACCAGACGGGCGGGTCGGGCGGCGCACACTAAGAGGCGGGCGGGGCGGGCGGACCCTAATGGGCGGGTCGGGCGGCAGACCATCGCGGGCAGGGCGGGCGGACACTAATAGGCGGGTCGGGCGGCGGACCATTGCGGGCGGGTCGGGCAGGCGGACCCTTGCCTTGCCTTGATGATGATGATGATCATCATCATCATCATCGTCATCGTCGTCGTCGTCGTCATCATCAGCATCATCATCATCAGCATCATCGTCATCACTATTATCATCATTACCCTCATCAGCATCACTATCATCACGATCATCATCATCAGCATTATCGTCATCATGATCATCATCGTGTTCGTGATCGTCATATCCAGCGTCATCACCATCATCATCATCATAATCATCATCATCATCAGTATCATCACCATCGATCGTCATCATCATCATAATTGACATCAACGGCATTATACCCATCATAACAATACGCGTCATCGTATTCAGTATCGTCGTCGTCTCCGGCGTCGTCATCATGATAATCATGATATGCAGCATCATCATGATGGTGGGCACCGCAAGTATGTCCATCACCGCCACGACGGCGTCATCACCATCATCATCATCATCATCGTCGTCGTCGGTGTCGTCGTCGTCGTCATCATCATCATCAGCATCATCATCATCATCGTCATCGTCATCGTCATCATCGTCATTATCAGCATGATCACTATCGATCGTCGTCACCATCATCAACAACAACATCATCATCAGCATCATCATCATCGCCGTCGTCGTCGTGGTCATCATCATTATCAGCACCATCATCAGCATCGGCATCATCGGCATCATCATCGGCATCATCATCGGCATCATCATCATCATCACCACCAGTTTCATCATTGTCATCTTTAGCATCGTCGCCGCCATCATTATCAGCATGAGCATTATCAGCAGCATCGTAAGCAGCATCGCTATCATCATCCGAGGGGAAGGGATTGGGGGAAGAGCAGCAACAGCAGCAGCAGCAGGTGGAGGGAGAGGGGGAGGATGAACAGCAGCAGGAAGGAGGGAGTTGGGGAGGGAGAGGGGGGGGAGAGCAGCAGGGGGAGGGAGAGGGGGAGAAGAGCAGTAGGGGGAGGGAGAGGGGGCGAAGAGCAGCGGGGGGAGGGAGAGGGGGATAAGCAGCGATCAGCAGGGGGACGGAGAGGGGGAGGAGCAGCAGCAGCAGCAGCAGAAGGGAGGAGAGGCGAGGGGAGAGAGAGGGAGAGGGGGGCGGCAGGAGCAAGTGTTCATGTATGCGCGCATGCACGCTGCAGCGCAACATGTTTTAATATACAGGGTTGCATGATGCCTCTGTGGGCTTGAAGGCGCAGATACTTTCAAAATCCAAACGTTTCCCCGTGCGAAACCGCCTGAGTATGCAATAGCAAATGTTTTCTCATGGTTTATGTGAACAAACCCTTCGTTTGGGCCGGCTTCCGCTCTGACCTGGTCGCCGATGGTTGCGATTGCTGTAGTTTTCCCATGTGTATTAAATGACTCTTCCGAGTTCACACGGGGAAATATTCGAATTCGCATGGCTTCCTGAATTCTGACTTTGAGGGAAAAGAGGAGGCGCACCGAGAGAATGGCGATGGTGATGATTGCATGTGCAGGGAAGCAAACAGGCGTCAAAAGTGCTGGGCCCTCCGCAGAGGAGATGGACGCGCGGCGGGCGCGCTTCAGGTGCCCCGAACTTCGGCGGGGACAATTCACAAGTGCGCGCATCTACCTACCTCGCCTGTCGGCACTGCGTCTTTCGTGGCACCTCCCTGCATCGTGGCGAGGACAGCCAGCCGTGGCAAGGCCTCAACGCGCCCGCTTGGACTTGCAGCTCTCGTCAAGGACTCGCTGGTCCGCGGCGCGCATCCGCTGGGATGCGCGGCGGGCCGCGCGGCGCGCGGCGTCCTCGTCGGACGCGGCCACTATGGGCGCGCGCAGCTGCGCGCGGTCTCCGATGGCGACCGGAGCGCCGCTCGCAAACGCGGGCGTCATTCCCTTGGAGAGTGCGCCCGCGAGCAGCGCGATCCTGGGGGTTTCCCGAATGGGGTCGAAGCTCATGGGGGGGTCGGAAGAACGCACCGCATCGCCGATGCATAGACGAGGCGCCGCCGACGCCGAGGCACAGAAAAACTGGTTCAGGTTTGCGCCGCGTCGCCGGTACATCGGCGATGCGGCGCGACCCTCCGACTCCCCCATCTACTCCAACTCCGCGTGGGAAACTCGAAGATCCTTAACCCCTCGCGAAGAACCACTGCGCCTTGCTGGCAAGAGTGCGCGAGCGCCTTGTAGATGCCGAAAATCTTGCCACCGAGGACGATGCGCTCCCGGTGGCACTGATACACGCAACGCCCCCAGTCCTTGACCTGGCGATGGATGGCCTCGTTGCGCATCGTCTTCTTCAGCGCGTCAGGGTGCAGGCGCCTGAACACGGACACGTTCTGCGTGTAGTAGAAGTGCGAGCCCGCGCGCTGAAGGTGCTGCAGAATTGACACCCCCTTCAGATCCTTGCGGGTCAAAGTGCTCGGGTACATCAGCGCGATGCGCCGGAGGGCCCCGACGTATTCGCGCACGCCGGTGAACGGCTTCTCGAGGTACGCCGCCCACCGGGCATCGGTGAACGTTCGGCCTGGCCGAACATTGTCCCACTCGGGGATGCGCCTGTGCTCACCGTGGTAAATGTCGAACTCCGGCGGCGCGGGGCACTGGAACTTCTTGTGCAGCTTCAGCACTCGCCATGACAGCGCCGTCCTGCGCTCGTGGGTGCACCCGTCGATCCTCATCGGTAAGTGCACGGGGTCTTCCGCCACGCCGCGGCAGTTCGGCAGGTGGCGGAAAAAGTACTCGCTCGGAGAATCCGACAGCAGGTACTCCACCTGCGAGATCGCGTCCTGCGGCAGGAGCTGGGCGAGAGCCTGCGCGAAATCATCCTCCCCCTCCGCGCGCTGCCCACTCCGCCCTGGACAAAGCCCAGACTGCGCCACGAAAGTGTGGAGCGCGTGTACTTCTCCTGCCCTCTGCGACATGGGCGTCTGCCCGATGATGGCGAACGCGGCTTTTAAGGTGGCGTCGTGGCTGAGACATGTGAACTCCCCATTCGCCACTGCCGCGTCCATGACTCGCTTCGCCATTGCAACCACGCTACTCTCAGGGGAGGTGAAGATGTGCTCCACGAGCTCGCAGATCGACTCTTTGACCTGCCTCCCGAACAGCAGCGTCGCCTTGTTGTCCGGCGCCCAGAGCGCCACGAGGTCCTGCGAGACGGTCGCGAGATGGAATTTACGGCGCAAGACGATTGACGCGATCAAGTCCTGGAAACCGGCCGTGTAATACACCTTGGAAGCCTTGGCGCCCATGCGCCAGGCATCTCCAGTCTGGCACTTCAACTTCATCACGGCCCCGCTCTCTGTCCACACCGTGACGAGCTGAAGATCGCTGGACCGCCTCAGCACTGTGAGCAGCTGCTCGGATGGCCGGCACCAGTCGCGGATGAGCGCGGCCGCCGAGGACAGCAAGTCGCCCGGCGGCGCCCCGGGCTGGAGAATCGAACACACTCTCTGCTGATTGAAAATGGCCCGGGCAATCTTGAGCTGGACGTCCGTGTTGCCGGCCGTGTACCCTCTCTCCTCCGTGTGATATGTCTCCACATGGTGCACCAGTTTTCTCCTCTCCGCAAACGCCCGGAACGCGCGCTTCTTGCACGCGCAGGTATCCAGCGCGCCGTCGCCCTTCAGCAGGTCCAGATACTCCCGACACTCCCTCTTCAGCGACTCCCAGAACGCTCGCTCCCCCTCCTTCATCTCGTCGTCGCCCCCCTCGCCCTGGCCGTCCTCGTCCTCGTCGTCGGCTACGGGGGGCGCGACCTCGCCCTCGTCGTCGGCGCGGGCCATCTCGAGAAGGCCGTCGCCCGAGCGCAAGTCGCGCCCGTCGGTCGCGAGGCCGCGGAACGCCCAGGCGGCGTCGCAGCGCTGCGCGGCAAGGTCCACGACGCAGGGCTCGGGGACACCGCCCGCGCCCGGCAGTAGAACCACGGGCTGGCTGTTGGCGGCGATCGCCAGCGGGGTGGCGTGGCCAGGGCCCCCGCGAGCGTGCAAAATGTACCCGCCCGGCTCGAGGGACTGCAGGTCGTTGTTGTCCACGGCATCCAACGAATGGAAATCCTGTGCCGCGTCGACCGCGTCGGCGTAGTTGTGGGGGCCAGGAGAGAGAAGGCAAACTCGAGGAACTTCTGGGAGTGCACGAGGTCCTTGGACAGCGCGAGGAACGACCACGGAATGCAATTGCGCCCTGCTGCCAGGCACTGAGCGTGGACGGCCTCGTTGGCAGCAGCGGCGGCGGCCCGTGGAGTCCGCTTGCCGGTGAACCTGGACCGCTTCGCCGGCGGCTCCTCGGAGGGCGCGCCCGCGCACGTGGATCTCTTGGGCGCCGCCAGTCGTCGGCGCACGAGCGAGTTCAAGTAGAAGGCCAGGCTCGCCGGCGCGTCGCCCTGGTCGGACTGCTTCTTGGAGGCGCGCGCGCTTGATGCGGACACCGCCGGCGGCGGACATCGCGCCCGACGCCGCCCGCGTGAGCTGCTCCAGCCGGTCGCCCGCCAACAGGAACGGCGGCGAGACGAAGTAGACGGCGTCGAAGCACAGGCACACGGGCTGGATGTTGTGGTAGCTCTGGAAATCCAAGAGTTGCCCCAGCGCGGCATTCTCGGAGTCCTGCAGGAACAGAGCGATGGCGGTGGACTCGGGGTGCTCAGCGCTCTTCGTTTGTCCCATGTTCGCGATGTGCTGGAACCGCGTGGACTTCGCCGCGATCAGGGAAACTGCCCCAGCCAGTTGATGCCGAAGCTCCAGCACGCATGGCAATACATGGGTTCCCACTCCTCGTCGCCAGGCCCCCACTCCTCCTTCGGCCGGCACCTGCCTCGGGGATGCACCAGGCGGTTCAACAGCTGCTTGGCCTCGCCCGCGCTGATGCCGCAATAGTCGGCGAACTTTTCTCGCCACGGGGAAGGCGATGTGACGTGCCTCTCGATCTGGTCGAAGCGCGCCCCCTCGCCCTCCTCCGGCGGGGCGACCTGGCGCAGCTCCCGCAGCAGGCTCGAGTAAGCAGCCACGGAGAAGTCCCACTCCACGACCGCCAAGTCACCCCAGCTGGAAGCGCGCGCCGAGCGACGAGCTGCTTGGCAACTTGGTCCGGGGGCATAAGCTCTACCGGCGCGGAGGGCAGCGCCAGCGCCAGGGCCTCCGCCCCGGCGCCGCCGATGCCGTTGTTCGGCAGGTCCAGGCCCTCCAGGCAGGGCGCGGAGGGCAGCGCCCGCGCCAGGGCCTCTGCCCCGGCGCCGCCGATGCCGTTGTTCGACAGGCACAAGCGTTGCAGACGGCGCACGGAAGGCAGCGCCCGCGCCAGGGCCTCGCAACCCGCGGGGCCGATCTTGCATCCACATAGGAACAGCTCCTCCAGGCGGGCGCACAGCCGCAGGCAGGCGCCGAGCCCCGCGGCCTGCCCAGGGCTCGCGGGCGGCAGCCCGCGCAAGTCGAGCTTCGTCACGCCGCCCAGCTGCGCGCGGCTCATCCGGCGGAAGAGCGTCTTCACCGCCTCCCGGTCCGCGCCGTTGGTGAAGGTCTTGCCCTCGATGAGCTGGTCAAACTCGTCAGGGCCCACGGGCCACCGCCTCCCAGCTGCTGGCGCTCCCGCCCCCTGCCCCAGGTCGGCCACGGCAGACCAAAGCGCCCCGTGGCGACCCACATTCTTGATCTGCTCCGCGGAGCACCGCTCGTACGTGGTCCAGCCCGACTGGTCGTAGCCGCACTCGCGCGTGCTGCCCCGCTCCCGGGGATGCTGCGTCAGCAGAAAGACGGTTGTGGCCTGGTGGGCGTACCAGAGGTCCATCGTCTCGTGCAAAGCGTGTTTGAACGCAGCCTTCTCGGCGGCCGTGCGCTTGGCCTCGTCCGCGGCCTCCCGGGCATGCGCTTCGCTTTTGCCCTCCCGCAGGGCGGCGGCCTTCGCCTCCTGGGCCTCGTCGTGGTCGCCCTGCAGGAGCGAGGGCCAATCCCAGAACACGCCCATCTCGCTGAACCCGTCGAAGAAGACATTTATTTCGGAGTACTTGCCGCGCTCTTGCTCCAAAGTGTCGATCACCAAATTCATCTGCACCCCCATCGGGGTCGGGGTGCTCGCGCGCATCCCCGCAAAATGAAATGGCGATGATCGGCGCGACCCTGTCAAAGCCTCCTTGTCCGCCCGCCTCCCAAACGGCGCGGAGCTCCTCCGCGGAGGCGAAGGCCTCCTCGGGCAGCTCCTGGCGCCTCTTCAGGACCGAGCCGCGCTGCTGCAGCAGCCACGACATGCGGACCAAGCGCACGGGGTGGTGGCCCTCGACGGTGCACATGAGCGCGTTGAACAGGCTTTCCGTGTTCGTGTGCCGGGTCAGGTCGAAGGGCTCCTCCACCTCCTGCGATCGCCCGAGCGCCATGAAGCACCCCATCGTGATGGCGCGACAACCTGCTGACCAGGCGATTTAAGGTTGCAACAAGCTCCTGGGCCTTGAGGCGCAGAAGTGGCTTGAGCCAAAGGGGCTACGGACCGCTGGTGGGGGTACTTTTTTGTTCGGTGACCCGCAAGGAAAAGTCCAGAGGGCGTGTTCAAGACAGGCACAGGGGCGCAATGCCATATAATTAGTGAGGGCCATGCCACAAGGAGGAAGCCGCCAAAGGCGCCAACCCACGCACGTGCAACATGCAGTACAGGCGACAGCGGGACCGAGCCAGAATATTGACCGACTGTCGTAACAACAGCCGACCAGACCAGCAGGCGAACACGTGCCCTGCATAGACAAATTCAAGCGGCGGAGAAGGAAGGCAGCCGAGAGGGCGCCAACCCACCACGTGCAGCATGCAAACCGGGTCGACAAAGGCGCCCAGCCAGAATATTAGTCGGGCTGCCCTAACAACAGCCGAGCACACGGAGATGGTGGGGATACGCGAAAACGTCAAGAAATCCGACATCGTTCTATAAATGGCCTCCGGCCACCTGCTGCTATGATCTGGGGTAGGACGAGGAAGAGAACCGACCAGGCATGTCCGGTTTGAAGCCGCAGGTCAGACCTGCAATGGCCACACGAACATGAGCGATCGCAACGACGGGGCACGCGGGCTCCGACCACCTCTTATCCGCGGCCGTGCCACAAGCACTGCGGCGAGTGTCCTCAGATGACCAATGATCGATGGCGACTCCGTCGAGGGCGTCGAAGCCGGCGACCAATGATCGAAGCCGGCCCTGCCATAGCAGGGCACCTCGGAGAAATCAGACGCCGTGGCGCGTGCAGAGAAGCACGGGCCCGAGACGGGGAGGGCGGGCCCCGACCGAGCACGCCCTGCCCTGCGGGGGGTGCCTGCTCGGCCTGCTCCGCGCCGCCCGGCCGCCCCCGACGGGCATCCCAGGGCGGCCCGCGCGGGGAGCCGCAGCGAGCGCCGGGGCGACCCCCTGCCGCGGGCGAGGCGGCGCCGACGGGCGCTCCCCGCGCGCGGGGGGCGCGCGGCCCCGCCAGGGGGCGGAGCGGCGGCGCAGAAGGCGCCGAGCCGCGGGAGGGGAGGCGAGTGTGCAGCGCGAGCATGGTGGGGGAAGGGACGGGGGAGAGGCGACGAGGGAAGCAGACAGGGGAGGCGGAGGGGGGGGGGGACGGGATCCACGTCAGGCCACTGCAGGCTGTGACGAGACCCCAGCGGGCAGCACGGTCCCCCTCCGGAAAAACCAGGCCGAGACCCCAGACACGGCACGATATTTGTACCACGCCCCACAGTGCCAGGCCCGAGGCAGTGAATGTCGGGGAGCTCCTGGGGGCTACCCGCGATGGCCAGCGGAGCCGCCAAGGACGCGCCAGGGCCCGGCAGGCCGCCGGTCCCGGCTGCACTCGAGTGCCCCTCGGGACACTTTCGGGCCGGCGCCGGGGGCGGCAGGGAGGAGGGAGGAAGGCTGGAAAGGGGAGCGGGCGGGGACGGGATCGGGAAAGGGAGGGAGAGGGGAGGGGAGGGGAGGATGAAGAAGCAGAAGAAGCAGAATAAGCAGAAGAAGAAGAAGAAGAAGAAACACTCCGTGGGGGGCCAGGTTCGTCTGTCACCCAGACATTCAATGGCCCAGGGTCTATCCTCGAGGGGAGGAGGCAAAACGCCTGGGGGACACTGGCCCCAAGGCTACACAGAGTGGAGGGGAGAGAGGGAGGAGGGGATGACTGAGGAGCTGAGAGCAGCCTGCGCTCCCGCAGCCGAGCGGGGGTGCCTCTCCTTCCTTCTGGATATAGCGGGCAGGGCTCCATGGAGCTACCCCCGCATGGCGTGCGAGCGGGAAGAGCTACACGTGGACGAGCAGGTACAGTGATCGGCCTGACCTAAGGAACGAAACATAAGGAACGAACACCTTTTTCCAGGGAGAAACGCATAAGGAACGATATATAATACATAACGCATCAGGAACGAGAAATAACGCACCTGAGGAACGACCGAGCCCCTGTTGAAAAGTAAGTGTTCCTTATTCACGCCGCTCACTGTAGGCCCAGGACATCGCAGCAGCTGCGAGAAAAAGACTAGCTGGCGGCGGCAGGAAGCGCAGCGCCAGGGCGAATCCTCCCGTTCGTTGGTCGTGTCGCATGGCCGGCTCTTGCTCCTCTCGATCAGGCGCAGAACTCGTTGGCAGTGGCGTCGGCCAGCAAGCAAGCAGCATCCGAATGGAATAGATCGCGATTTGTCGGCGATTGGCAAGGGGCGCTCGGACGTAAAGTTCTGGCCTTGTTGAGGGCACGTTACAGACAATGAGTTGGCTTGCTGTGACTGGTAGACATGGCCAGCCGCGTGAAATGCTCGCCTCGCTTCTGCGGTAGGGTATACTGCCAGAGCCTAGGGCCTTGCGCTGACAAGCGGCGCACATCTTCGACGACACGATCGAGCTGCGCGGACGATGCCTGTGCGCACCCCTGGGTCTCGAAGGCAGCACTGTCTGGTGCGCTGCAGGAGCTCGGCATGCTCTGCCGGAGCGCGGCTCCGCGCAGCACACGAGGATCGCCGCCAGCGCAAAGCGAGCGCAGCGTTGCCCGTTGCCCGTTGCCCGAGCTGGGCTGCGGGCGTCGTGTCAGGAACGCGTGGGGAGGAGTCGTTACCCCAGCGCTGCACTGCCGAAGAGGAGGACAGCGGCGAAGACACAGAGACGAAGAAGGAGGGATCGCGAGAGGGCCCAACTGACCCCACACCAGAACAGCGGCGGCTCAGGCTGGCCCGCTGCCAGGTACGAGAGAAGGCGCTGTCGTCGCGTGTGCGGGCTCAGAGAAATCAGTCGCAGTGGGCCGGCGTCAATGCTACCAGGAAGCTGGAAGCACACGTGTCTGGATTCACATGCGGAACATGCGGAAGCCACTTCTTTGATACGCATGTGGAGGATCAGCGTGCCTGGACACACGAGAGCCGAGCGTTAGAAAGACATGCGGCCACATGTCTTTCCAGCCGCGCCAAGGCATGTGCGCGGCCCAGGGGGGTGGTCAGGGGCCTGGAGGCGCACTGAGAGAAGAAGAAGAAGAAGAAGAAGAGGCGCCATGAGATCTGGGGAGACATCATGGCCCCCAGCCATGGCATGCCCCCCTTCGGTGGCAACTCGTCAGAGCCTCTCGTCGGAGCCTCCCATACCATCTTTTTTTGTCCGCCAACGATGACCTCAACGCTGCAGTATGCTCCGTCAAAGTTGGCCGCCCCCAGCCATATTTCGCTGAGTAATGGTAGGGAGTAATGGTAGGGCCCACTATCATCCCCCATCCGTGGCGCATGGACTGATGCAAAGACGGTGGCTGGTGGTGTCTGGCCCAGAATATCACTTTCAAGACTCGCTGGGCAGTGGTCACCTTCGCGTCTACTGCCCACCGTTCTCGCAAGCACAGGTGTCATTGTTTTACTGTGTTTGGATCGGCAAGGCAACGATGCTCTGCCTTCCGCTGAGCAAAAATGCCCAATTCGATTTCGTTGAATAACGCCAGCGCCCATTTCCGCTGCCCGCATTTTTCGCCCACGCCGATTCCACTTTTGTAGCTGATGGTGTTCGGCTCCACGTTCGCCTGTTGCATCTTGCTCAACAACGAGAGCGCCTGTTGCCATTGCATACCCATCTCGCACGCGCCCATCCCAGCGTTGTAGATGACGACATCGGGCTCCAACATCGCCTCCAACATCTCGCCAAGCAACGACAGAGCCAGCTGCCACTTCATATTTTTGGCACACGCGCTGATCCCACCGATGTAGCTGATGGTATCTGGCTCCATCATCGTTTCCCATATCTCGCTGAGCAGCGCCAGTGCACGCTGCCACTGCTCGCCATGACTGCACGCGCTGATCGCACAGTTGTAGCTGATGACGTCTGGCTCCACGCTCGCCTCCTGCATCTTGCCGAACTGCGACAACGCCTGCTGCCACGATCCAGCTACCTTGCACGCGGCGATCCCAGAGGCGTAACTGCAAACATTTGGCTCCACCTTCGCCTCTCGCATCTCGTTGAATAGCGACAGAGCATGCTGCCATTGCCCGCTATTCCCGCACGCGCTGGCGCCACAATTGTAGCTGAAGACGTCCAGCTCCACCTTCAGCCACTGCATCTGCCCCATCACCGCCAACGCTTGCTGCCACTGCCTGCCTTTCAGACACGCATTGATTCCTTCATTGCAGCAGAAGACGTCCAATTCTAGCGTTGCTGTTAACATGTCGCCCAATATCGACAACGCCTGCTGCCACTGCCCGCCTACGCTGAACACGCTGATCACACCGGTGTAACTGATGACGTTTGGGCTCAATTCAACCTCCCGCATCTCGCTAAGCAGCGACAGCGCGTGCTGCCACTGTCCACCTTTCTCACACGCGCTGATCGCAGCGCTGTAGCTGGTGACGTCTGGCTCCAACTTCGCCTCCCGCATCTTGCCGAGCAATGGCAATGCCTGCTGCCACTGCCCGCATTTTTCGCAGGCGCTGATCGCGCCACTGGAGCATACAACGTCAAGCTGCAATTCCACTATTCGCATCTCGCTGAGCAACGACATCGCTTGTTCCCACTGCCCGCCTTTCTCGCACGCGCTGATCCCAGCACCGTAGATAACGGCGTCTGGTTTCATCGTCGCGTCCCACATCGCACTTAGCAGCGACAGCGCCTGCTGCCACTGCCCGCCTTTCTCGCATGCGCTGACGCCCCCACTGCAGCAAACGACATCCAATTCCAACTTCGTCTGCCACATCTCGTGGAACAGCGACAACGCCTGCTGCCATTGCCCGCCTTTCCCGCACGCGCTGATTCCACCGCTGTAGCTGAAGACGTCCAACTCCAACTTCGCACCCTGCATCTCGCTGAGCAACGATAATGCTTGCTGCCACTGCGCACATTTTTCGCACGCGCTGACGCCAGCACAATAGCTCCTAACATTGAGCTCCAAGTCCACCTTCCGCATCTCGCCAAGCAGCGACAGCGCCTGCTCCCACTGCCTGCCTTTTTCGCACGCGCTGATCGCAGCATTGCAGCCAATCACATTGGGCTTCAACCTCGCCTCCCACGTTTCCCTGAGCAACGACAGCGCAGGCTGCCACTGCCCGCATTTCCCGCAGGCGCTGATCCCGCAGCTGTAACTGAAATCGTTCGGCTCCAATCTCACCTCCCGCATCTCGCTGATCAAGAACAGTGCCCGCTGCCACTCTGCACCTGTGCTGCACGCGCTGATCCCAGCGGTGTAGCTAATGTGGTCTGGCATTAGATCCAGCGACCACATCTCCCTGAGCAGCCACAGCGCCTGCTGCCACTGATTGGCATTTCCGCACGCGCTGATACTGCTGCTGTAACAGATGACGTCTGGCTCCAGCGTCATGCCAGCCAGCTCCCTGAAAAGCGACAGCGCATGTCGCCACTGTTTGCTCTTTCCGCATATGCCGACGGTCACACAATACAGACTGAGGCTTAGATCCGCATGTGGTTGGGACGCCTCGCGCAACAGGCGCAGCGCTGCAATCCATTGCTTTGCGGCCCCACACTTGTCGATCGCACCTTTGACGGAGGAGGCACCCTGCCGAGACCCCTTCAAGCTTTTCTGCATCAGCGGATCTCCACATCATGTGTTGGTGCACGTCTCCCAAGAATCTCAACTGCTGGGCCTTGAGCCACAATGGCTACGGAAGCCTCCCATACCCTTGTCGGCTCTTGCGAATCCACGCTAATCTATGCCAGTCTACGCCAATCGACGCTAGATCGACGCAAACCGACGCTACATCGGCGCTGTCTCATCGACTCCCAGGCGCCAATCGACGCCAATCGAGGCCGAAGACGGAAGCAAGAGGGTACAACAGGCTCCCATGATTTGCTGCTGATCCTCCCCCTGGTCAGCGCCCCCCTGGCCGCCCTGACTACCTACCAGACCACCCCAACCCAACCCGAAGACCCGAATTTCGGGTTGGGGGGGGTAAGGGTTCCATATGTGTTTTTTCGATGTTTCCAGACCCCCCCCCCAACTGGAAATGGAGGGCAAATTGAGGCCTTCGGGTTGGGTTGGGGTGGTTTGGTGGGTGGTGACGCCCCCGACGAGGGACGCCGACCCGCGCCGGCACCACGCGTCGCGAGAGGGACTCGCCACCACGGACGAGCACGCGCGGACCTGCCGCCGCCCTCGCCCCAGCCTGCCGATGCCACCGGGCTCGGACTGCGCCGCCGGCTGCGCCCCTCCTCCTCCTCCTCCTCCTCCTCCTCCTCCTCCTCCTCCTCCAGCTCGTCCGACTCATCCTCCATCCTCCCCCCTCTTGGGGTCGGACGTTTTACTCAGCCCTTTACTCCAACGCATGCCCCTCCACATCCCCGACAAGGGCAAGTCGCCTGAGCAGTATGCCTTCCGAGGAGCTGTTTTTTTTGAGGGCAGACCTGCTGTCGACAAGGAGCCTCGTCTGCTCTGTGAGGATGTTTTTTTCTTGTTGGGCAAGTCTACCCTCAACAACAAAAGCCTGGGCCTGCTCTGCCGGAATGTTTTTTTTTTTTTTTCTGAAAACAGACCTGCCTTCAACACAAGTTCTTTTTCTGCTTCATGACAACTGCATATTCGGCGGCAGATATGCCTTCAACAAAAGGCGGACCATCCTGTACGAACGGTTTTTTGATGACAGACCTGCCTTCAAGCCTTGAACAAAAAGACTTGTCTACTCTGTCAGAACCACTTTTTTGAAGGCAGGCCTGCCCTCAACAATAAGCCTGGTCTACTCTGCGAGCTCGTCTTTTGTCGAACGAAGCTCTGGCTTCAACAAAAGCCGTTCTTCCACAGACTAGTTCGCCCGCCCTGCGCGTCGCTGCCCGCCTGAAGGTCCAGGGCTCCTTGCCTCTGGTCACCTCGGGCGCGGACTCCAAGTGTGAAGGGCAAGGTGAGGGGGGAGACCCGCTCGATAAAGGGAGGGAGGCGGGAAGCATCGAGCGTGCGTCGGTGATGCATCGCCCACAGATCGGCGATACAGTCAACCCGTATCAAAAGGATGCGCGATAAGGATGCAAGGGCCTCGGACGCCCATTTCGAAGCTTTTCGAGCGGGGCGCGGCCAACAAAAGCGGCCAAGGGTGGACCGAGAAGGCAAGGATGCAAGGGTACCCTTGGGAAGGTTGCCCATCCTCGCTATGCGGGCTGACTGTGCTCTTCTCTGGGGGGCAGCAAGAGGCGCCCCTCGCTGCGGGGACAGCAACCCAGACATGCCCGCGCGGCGAAACATTCACGACGGGAGGTTTTTGCTCATCATATCCGGCCCCGGGGGAGCCCTTACCAGGCCTCGGGACGGTCAAAAAACGACTGAGGATGGAAATCTGGTCCCGGGGAAGGTGTCGAGACCTCCAGGGGCCCCGTACTAAAAAATCCAAACGTCGCATGTCTGGGAAGCGAGCACAACCACATCGAGGACATACCCTGGGGGATGTCTTCTTGCACGGGGCCTAAAGGTATACGCCACCATCACCTCCCTCATCCCCTCCCTTTTCCAGGAAAGAGGAGAGGAAGACGAGAGTTGAGGAGGGAGGGGGATCGACGTGGTGGTGGAGTAGATTCTCGGGTTCCGCATCTTGCGCATGCCAAGAACTGTCGGAGCACCGAAGCCAGCTTCGTGCCGGTTTTGTGGTCGATGTAGCGTCCCAGAAGGGCCAGATCGACCACAAGCACAGCCACAGTGCTCATGCCGAGGCGGTGGGCTCTCTCCCCCGAGTGGCCCTCCTGAAAAATCAGCTCAGCTCTGATGTGGCTTTTGTCGTGCGTGGACTCGTGGTGCCCAGGTCGGCATCGGCGGCGCACACAAGGGAGGGGCAGGGGGAGTGGGGAAGGCTTCTTAGAAGGAGGCCGCTTCTTAGAAGGCACAGGCCTTGCATCCACAGACAAGGCCAGCGCCTTCTAAGCAGGGGTGCCTCCATGAAGCCTCCCCCCCTCCCCCTTACAAGTCGGTCGGAAGTAGGTAACGAAAACATGAAGCAGGAAGGCGGACAAAGCAGATTGGGGCCAGGCCCTCCATGAGAAGAACAAAACACAGCACAAGCAGTTCGATTCTTGAAGTAGGACGGCGTTTGCAGCAGATCGGGCTCTGGAAATCACAGAAAAACTACAGTCAACCCGCTTGCCGAACAAGGTTGGCCAGCGAAAAACGCTAAGGACGCAAGGGTGCCATGCAAGGGTGCCCTTGGGGCCGAAGGGGTAAGGACGCAAGGGTGCCCTTGGGAAGGCTGCCTATCCTTACTATGCGGGTTGACTGTACTTCCAACGACCGGCGTGTACCCTGAAGTCGGGCTTGTCCCCCTACAGGCGGTTTTTGGGCGAAAAATGAAAGTCCGCCGACATTGTGCCGGCGTGTGTGAGGGACTTGTCCGTTCCTATCGTTCGTTCGTCGTCGTCTCCGTCGTCTCCTGTGCCTGCGCCCACCCTTTCCCTGGGCCAATCGTCTCCTGTCCCTGCGCTCCCTCTTTCCCTGGGCCCGTTTCCCCTCCTCCCCTTTCCCCCTCTTCCCTGGGCCCGTCGCCGCTCCCCCCCCCCCCGCTTTTTCAGGGCCTCCTCCTCAAGAGCAACGTTGTCATTGAGTCGAAGGGAAGACCCTTCCCTGTGATCCTTTCCCTGCAGGTGGGGGGGGTCCCGGGGGGGGTCCCACAGCAGATACGACTCCCCCCTCTGGGGGTCCCGAGGCATTCTACCACGCCCTCTCCTCCCTCCCCCCTCCTCCATCCATCCTCATCTCTCCTCTTTCCTCCGCCCCCCTCCAGAACCGAACCGGCCTCGTGGACGCTCGGTCACGGGACACCCCAGAACCCAGAATTCCGAGGTCCCTGGGACCCTCCAGGACCCAGCCCCGAGGACGTCCTCCCAGGACCCAGCACCAAGAACCAGCCCCCCAAAAAGTTCAGGACTCCCAGGCCCCAGGCCCCAGGACCCCAGGACCACTCCTGCAGCACGAGGCCCCGCTCGCCTCGTCCTGCTCCTATTCATTTCCCCCTTCTCCTCCTCCTCCTCCTCCTCCTCCTCCTCCTCCTCCTCCTCCTCCTCCTCCTCCTCCTCCTCCTCCTCCTCCTCCTCCTCCCCCCCCTCCTCCTCCTGATCCTCTTCCCCCTATCCTGCTCCCTGACGTCCTCCGCATCCTGCTCCTCAACGTCCTTGTCCTGCTCGTCGTTTCCGTCTGCAGGGTCGGCGTCACCGGCCGCAAGGCCTTCGCAATAATAATAATAGTAATAATGATAATGATAATAATAGTAATAATAATACTAATAAAAATAATAAAAATAATAATAATAATAATAATAATAATAATAATAATAATAACAATAATAATAATAACAATAATAATAATAGTAGTAATACTAATAACAATAATAGTAATAATAATAATAATAATGATAATAACAAAAACTTTCAAATAGCCCAACATTGAAAAACAGTAGTCCCCAGACTATGTTCCGTATTTTTGAATATCCTCCTGTAGAGGGATAGGCCCGATTTAAGTGCACCACTCCCCCTGCGCGTGGCCGACTTCGGTCCGCGGGCGAACGGCGAGCACGCGCCCCGTCGAGCGATGGCGGGGCGCGCCGGGGCGGCAGAGAAAGCACGGGGGGAGGAAGGGCGGCGGGGGGCGCGGCGCAGCGGGGGGGGGGGCCGAGGAGGAGCCGCACTCCAGCCGCGCTTGCCTCGGCGACACGGAGGCCCTGGGCAAGGAGAACAACTCTCGTGTTGGGGGGAAGGGGTTGGGAGGATGAAGGGCACGAGCAACAGCATTCTGGTGCAACGAACGATGCATTCGGCCGCCTACGGGCGAGGATGTCCTCATTCCCCCAACCTTGGGTCGGGCCTGCCCCCCTACAGGCGGCTTTTGGACGAAAAATGAAAAATACGCAACAAATACTCCAGTGGTCCAACATAATCGAAAAATGGTCCGCATATTATTTTTCACTATCTCTGAATATTCCCCCTGTGGAGGGACAGGCCCGACTTCACCCCAACCCCACCCTCCCAACCCGATGATTTATCTTCCTGGCTGTGTACGACTGACCTTTGGTGCGCGGCTCTGTGGGGGCCGCGGGGGGGCCAAACACGAGCGCGCAGGACGCTGCTGTCGCCCCGCGCTCGGCGATCGAGGGACCCCCGTGGGCCCGCACCAGGGGTCACTCCGGCGAAAGGCCACCCTCAACGCCAAGTCGGCTGTCGGCAGCCCGAACGCGGGCCCAGCCGTGGCGACGAGGGCCTCCCAGGAGCCCCCCAAAAAAGGCAAACATGAGGCGAGGGTGTGGTGAGCATGTTTTTACTCGGCGTTTCGACATTGGGCGGAAGAGGGGGGGAGGGGGGAGAATCTGGCTCCGGATCTGTGGTGCGACTGTTTACAAAAGGGCGGCCTCTGGGGGAGCCTCCACCTGCCTGAAACAGGCGCCAAAGAACAGCCAAGATCTACTCAATGGAGGGGGGGGGAGGCGGGGGGTCGGGGGCCCGAGCCGATCGGCAAAACAACGAATAAAAGAACGAACAGTACCGGTACCTTTCCCTCCTCTGGGGCTTGGAACCCTGGGCACGCCGCTGCGGCGCGGCCCTGCCGAGCCCGCGGGAGGCGGGGCAAGCGCGCAGACCGCCACGCTTGCCGCGGGCCGGATTCGCACCCAGGCCGCGAGTCGGCAATCTGACCGCGCACGGCCTGAAGTGGCCTTCAGATGGCCCCATCGAGGACACAACTGTGCAGTTGCTCCTCTGAGGATCATGGCGTCGAAACTCTTTCGCAGCGGTCGGGCCCTGGGACCCGCGCAGAGCTATCCAGGTCAAGAAGTGACGCAGAAAGATGGGGTCCGGGGCTCTGGTCGTGATGTGTTGCGATGCTGCAGTTGTTCTGCAGCGTCCGATCTCAGGGCCTCCTGTTTTAGGGTGCACCCAATCGGCCCGGTTGGGCGTGCTTCAGTCGAGGACTCTCCCTCTCGACGCCCTGAACCAAGGACGCATACGGAGGGAGACGGATCGCGCTGCATGCGTTGCAACCTGCTCTGCAACGAGGCTCCCCAGACGGCTCCAAGAGGACCTCTAGGAAGCCAAACACTTGACTTCCCGTTAGTTTTCACAGATTTTAGCGTTCTCGCCTTGTCGGGCTTCCGGCGCTGCAAGGCGGCCCCTTGCGTCCCCAAGACCGCCCCAAGACGGCCCCAGAGGGCCGCACAACGGCCCGAGAGTGCCCGAAGAGGGCCCAACGAGACGCCCCAGGTCGGCCATCTGGGCACTCATCGGCCATCTAGGGTGCGCCGACGCATCGCACCCCTCGTGCTGCGTGAGGTGGGCGGCGCGGTGGAGGCAGAGGCAGACTGCGTGGGGATGTCGCCTCGGGCGGGGAGGAGGAGGAGGACGAGGAGGAGGAGGAGGAGGAGGAGGAGGAGGAGGAGGAGGAGGAGGAGGAGGAGGAGGAGAAGGAGGAGGGAGGGAGGAGGAGGGAGGAGGCGGGGAGGAGGAGGAGGAGGAGGAGGGGAGGAGGAGGAGGAGGAGGAGGAGGAGGAGGAGGAGGGGGAGGAGGAGGCGGCGGCTGCAGGTCCAGGATGCTCGGTGCCCCCAGCGGCACGCGCCCAGCAGGTGGGGACCCGGACCACCCCCCTATGTGAAAAACACCAGGCAACAAAAAAAAAAATCAGTGGATGGTCTGATCGATAAGGAGATCGACCGGGAACCCAGGGACCAGGGATCCACCGAAATCGGCTCGGAACCAATAACCAGGACCCTGGGAACCCGGAATCGGGAACCCAGGAACCCAGCGGGCCACCAAAATCGGCGGGACACTTTCGCCAAATCTTCCAATTTCCGCTAGGACCCCATTCAGTGCAAGCACTGATTGGAGAATCAAGACGGGAGCTTTTTCGCTATTCTCGGCCTCCGGGGGCCCTTCCTGGGCCTCGGGGCTGCCAACCAGCGACTCGGGGATGACAAGCCGGTCCCGGCGCGGGAAGGGGTCCAGACCTCTGGGGGTCGACGGTGCGAACAACATCACGACGTCGGGGGCTTGGGGAGAGAACGAGTGCCGATGTGCACTGAGGGGGCGGCATTGAACTGGCCATCGATCGGACGTCCATTCCCTGTGCTTTTTTCGGTTTCGTGCGTGGTCTTTTCGCCAGATGATCAAGGATGCTCCTCGTTGGTCCTCGCCGAAGGAAAAATGCACACGTCCGAGCGATGCCAAGTGAAGATTCCAGGTTCGGGAGGGGCGGCTGCGTCGCAGCCGGCCCTCGGACCTCGGCGGCCCCCCCCCGTGGTGCTCCTGGTTCGGGAGGGGGGCGCCTGTGTCTCAGCCCTCCCCCGAAGACGGAGGCCACACGCGGGGGGGCTGGACGGACCTCCTCCCCCTCCTCCTCCTCCTCCTCCTCCTCCTCCTCCTCCTCCTCCTCCTCCTCCTCCTCCTCCTCCTCCTCCTCCTCCTCCTCCTCCTCCTTCCCTCCTCCTTCCCTCCTCCTTCCCTCCTCCTCCTCCTCCTCCTCCTCCTCCTCCTCCTCCTCCGTGCAAAAGGGGCACGTGGGGTCACAGGAGATGGGCTGGTGAGCAGGCCCAAGGCTGGTCAGCCTGTCATCGTTGCCTGGCCTCGCTGCGACCACGTGTCTAGACGGCGCTTGGCCGTGGCCGCCAGCGTTGCAAGAACCCGTCATGTGGATGACTCCGAACATCCTGGTGAATGCAGAACACATGCTCAAACCAACAGGGAGGAGAACTGGGGAAAGGGCAAGGCGATGAAGGCGTCATGAGCATGTGTGCCAATTGTCGGACCCCGAGGGGGGCCCCCGATCGAGCGGAGACCCCCATCCGACACCACACACCCGTTCCCGAAGTCCCCCTCCGCTCAGGAGTTCTGGTGGTCGCATAGGTACAGGTGCCAGATGTCAGCTCATTGCATTCTGGGTGCGTTGGCTCCATCACACTGGGAAAGGAGGTCTCCATCATACTGTCAGGCCCCCACCCCCTGAGGCTCCTGCAGGGCAACGTGGGCATCCTGGCCTTCTCCCAAGCTCCGACAGACCCATTTCACTCGCTGGCTCCACAAGTAACCCAAACGGGTTCAATGTAGATTATACCTTCTCGCGACCTTTCTCGACGCCTTCCCCTTTACGTGCTGATCCCAAAGGGCCCGTGTGCCAATCCACTAAAGGGAGCGCGGTAGCGCAGGAGTTGTAATGGAATGCAGCGAGCCGAACATGAGGTCGGAACCAGCCGCTTTCACCGATCTGTGGCGCTTTTACATCGGTACTGCAGGATCGTGCGCAGCTACTAATCGGCGTCACCGACGATGCGGCTCTCAACCAGACACTGTGTGGTGTGTGGATGGGGTGATAGGCACATAGAGGTGCAGACGCAGTCAGTGGAAGGCGACGCAATCGACATAGCGAGTAGACGTACGTGCATCCTCTTACCGATGCAAGCCCTTGGTTACGAGGGGGAGGAAATGATAAGGACGGCGCCGACGAAGAAGGAGCCCACCATCATGTCGCTTTATCCTGAGGTATGGGGGAAGCGAACAACGATCTGGGCACGAACCGGCAAGCGTAAGTTGAAGGTCGCTCGGGGGGTAGCGTTGATCCCAAGGCCAGATCCCAGCTCGGCCGGCCCGCTTGATCCGTCAACAGCAATCCTTACGCCCCTCTGTCGCAAGAAATTCAGATCTTGGGTTTGTCCTTACCGGCGATTGGACTATACGACGAAGCCAGGACGAGAATAACACCGGGCAACGATAAATCAGCAATCTCTTAGATCTGGCGGTTCTGGAGAATGTCTCGGGCGCAGTGGCCTTCTCAGAGCGTTCCAGAACGCCCGGAGAGCGTTCTGGAACGCTCTGGAAACGATTTGTCCTCGTCCTAGCCCCGTCCGACATTACCCCCTCCTCCGTCTGCACGGTTTCCACCAGGTCCGTAGGCGACCCGAGGAGGAGAAGGAGGAGGAGGAGGAGGAGAAGGAGGAGGAAGAGGAGGAGGAGGATCAGCAGGAGGGGGAGGAGGGGGAGGAGATGGAGGAGGAGGAGGAGGAGGGGGAGGAGGGGGAGGAGATGAGGGAGGAGGAGGAGCAGGAGGAGGAGGAGGAGGAGGAGGAGGAGGGAGCGGAGGGAGAGGGAGGAGGGAGGCGGGAGGAGGGAGGAGGCAGGAGGAGGAGGAGGAGGCGGAGGAGGAGGAGGAGGAGGAGAAGGAGGAGGGAGGAGGAGGAGGAGGGGCCGCCTAAGCCCTTCGGGGAAGCCCTCCATGCTGCGCCTCCTGCGTCGCGGCGACCACGAGGCCCCTACACACGGACAGGAGTCGGGGGTGCCAAAACCGGAGACGAAGCCAGGACGAGGACAACTTCGTGCGAGGATACACCGAGGGTACTACTGTAGCTCGGAACAGCTCGCGATAGCGCCCAACAGAAGACGAAGCCAAGACGAGGAGAAATTAGGGCGAGGATACACCGAGGGCACTACTGTAGCTCGGAACAGCTCGAGAGAGCGTCCAACAGAAGACGAAGCCAAGACGAGAAATTTGGGTGAGGATACACCGAGGGCATTACTGTAGCTCGGAACAGCTCGAGATAGCGCCCAATAGAAGACGAAGCCAAGACGAGGAGAAATTAGGGCGAGGATACACCGAGGGCACAAACATAGCTCGGAGTAGCTCGAGATAGCGTCCAACACAAGACGAAGCCAAGACGAAGAGAAATTCGGGTGAGGACACTCCGAGAGCCTCTGAGATCCCGCGGCTCTGGAGGATGACTCGGGCGCCGCGGCCTTCCCAGAGCGTTCCAGAACGCTCTGAGAGCGGCCTGGAACACTCTGGAACGTATTTTTATCCTCGTCCTGGCCCTGTCCGCGAAACGACCGCTGAAGGAATCCCCACAATCCAGGTGCGAACGGGCAAAGCCAACACTCACCGAACACGTTCCACTACTCGCACAGTGCCTGCTCGCAGACGTCCAAAAAACATATGATGTTCGATGTGATGGAGCTGGTTTGCCCCGGTGCAATGGATCCAGACCATTTGCGAGAAGCTACTTTGCGAGCCATGGAACGCGCTTGTCCAAACAAGGAGGGGAGGGGGCTCTTTGTAAGGGTCTATACTACTGTTATTGGCCTTCGCCGGTGGAGACCCTAATTGAATGAACGTGTTCTACAACATGTAACTGAGGGGGCTGGCTCCTGACGAAACGCTGGCCCAAATTCAGACCAGGTCCCAACAGGAGTTGTCCTAACTTCTTGGCCCCGTCCTTCCTGCAGGCACACCCTCTGTTCGTCACGCGTTGTCAGACTTCTAACTCTTGGCCCTGGGCTCCCCGCAGACAGACCCGCGCCAGATTCCCCCCCACCGTGGCCTTGACCCGAGGATGGTGCCCTCGGGTTCCTGGGCCCCGCTCGCCAGAGGGACCCTCCCCCTCGCCGCGTCTGACGCGGCATCCCCTGGGCAGTTCCTGGGCGTCGAACACTCCCTGGGCATTCCCAGACACGACCATGGCGCCAATAGGGGAACACAAAGTGACATAAACATAAAAACTCGGAGGTCCGCGCGGATTTCTCGGATCGGCGCTGGACCCCCCTCAGTGGCGCGCGGAGCGCGCCAGGGGCGGCGCCGGAGGCGCCGCCGGGGGGCCCCAGCGCCGATCCGAGACATCCGCGCGCGGACCTCCGAGTCTTTATGTTTATGCCACTTTTTGTTCCCCTAGCCAAACACTCCCCTGGGGGCACTCCCTCGTCACCATCATAGTGAGCCCGCCGTAGGACAGCCCGGGCCACATGCCGGCGTGCCTCGGCAGCCGGGCGGCGGGGGGGGGCGGCGGAGCCTGCGGCGGCAGAGAGCCCCCGCTGCCCCCGGCGGTCGGGCTCCCCGGCTCCTCCTCCCTCCTCGTCGCCCGTGTCGTCGTCGTCCTCCTCCTCCTCCTCCCTCTCCTTCTCCTCCCTCTCCTCCCTCTCCTCCTCCTCCTCCTCCTCCTCGTCCTCCTCCTCCTCCTCCTCCTCCTCCATTTTGACGTTGATGGGGCATGAAGAACAGTGCTTGTCGCGTCCTGGAAAACAGTGCTAGGCTTCAAGGAATAGAATCGCAGGCTTAGGCTAGGCCTTGGCACTCGGATTAAGGCAGCCGCCAGTACGAAAAAGGAAGTGCCAGAATCTGCGGTAAAAGAGAGCGGCCCTTGGGGGCGAAGAGCAGCCAGGTGGCTACCGTAAGGAGCGAGAGAACAACATCCAACAAATGCGAGTGCAATGAAGAAGCATATGCTGCCTGGCCGTCGTCGTCCTCCTCCTCCTCCTCCTCCTCCTCCTGATCCACCTCCTCGAACGCCAGCACGGTCAAGAACAAGCCACCCTCGGATCAGGCCCAGCGAGACGTGGAACAGATCGAGACATCGAGCAGCGGCACGACCTTCCTCCTCCTCGTCCGTCTTCTCCTCCTCCTCCTCCTCCTCCTCCTCCTCCTCCTCCGTATCCGTCTCCTCCTCCTCCTCCTCCTCCTCCTCCTCCTCGACGCAGCCCTGGCGCACAGGTTCAGCCTGTACACGAGCACGAAGCTCCTGTCCCCGCGGCGGATGGCACGTCGGGGACGGGGCTCACCTGCAGGAGCAAACACCCGTGCAGGGCGAGACCTGGCAGATGACGCGTCTCGCCGGCGCGCACCAGATCGGCCGTGCGCCACGGCTGACCCGGTGCGCACCAGACCTTGCTAACCTTAGGGGGCCACATGCGAACCCTACCCCTACCCCCCACGAGTTCTGCCGGGGATGGACAGACCCCCCTTTAGTAAAACGTGGTTTAGTGAAAACGACCTCGGGCCCAAACCTGGCGGGCGCCAGCCTGGAAAATAACGGCCGCGGCGCCCTCTCGAGAACCGAAAACGGACAATTCACTAATCGACGTGTCAGGGTAGGAGGTCTGTCCACCCCCGATTCTGAGGGGGAGGGTGGGGTTCACTTCGTTCGGGAGCTCCCGAGCGAAGCGAGCCCCACCCCCCCCGTCAGAGATCGTGGGGGGCAGGGGTGGGGTTCGCCTGTGGCCCCCTGAACCTGGCACCGCCCCCGCGCCAGGCTGGCCCGAGCACGAGCACCCCCCGAGAGCGGAGCTGGCCGGCCCGCGCGCGGGAGCGATGATAGCGCAGGGGGCGTGCCGCGCCCGGCGGCGCCGCACGCGGCGCAGGCAGCGCCCCGGCGTCCGTCCAGACGCGGCAAGGCGAGAGGGGTGCACCACGCGCGCACGGCCGCCAGAGAAGGGGCCACGTGTCCGCTCGCCTGGGGGAGAGCGGCGTGCACGGCGGCTCGGGAGGGAGAGCAGCCAGCGGAGGCTCGCGGGGGGTCGAGGCCGTCCTGCGCCGGGCGTCCGAAGCACGGAGGGAGTCCGTGGCGACGAGGGCGGGGCCCACAAGGGCAGCCCACGGAGCGAAGCCGCGGAGCGCCGAGGCCTTCTGCGCGAGCTGCGCCCGCAGGTCGGGCGAGAGAGGCGAGAGAGA